TTAACAACCCTTTTAGCATCATCTTCAATGTTTATACAACTTTTTATTTTAAGTATATCTTGAAAAAGTAGATTTAGTGTATGACAAATACACGCATAGTAGGCTATTGGTAAATCTTTATACTTAGAATCATTTTGCAGAATACTCCAAGACTTTTTCATTGCAGCCGCATTGTCAGTAACAATTCCTAAACAACGTTTTTTTCCTAATTCGTCTATTACTTGACTAATTTCTTTGGCAACATATTCTGCAGTATGACGTTCCGTTGTTGTGCTAATGGATTTAAAAACTACTGGTTCAGGTGTGGTTACAATTACATTTAAAATTGGTTCATTCCTAAAACATATTTAATCAATTAATTAAATTACTAAAATATGGTTCCATTGTTAAATCATTATTACCTAATATTACTCCACCCATCAATTTGAACTCCATAAACATAAGCATCATTAATTTTTTTTCGAACATCTAAATTAATTAGATTATACTCATAGTCTAACAATTTATGAGATAATATAAAACGTGTTGGAAGTTGAAAACTTGGTCTTAATGCTTTAAAAAACTGTATCCAGTGGTTATTTTCTACTATAGACAATGGCGTGGCACTGGAAAATATAGCAGTACCTAAAAGTTTCCATAAACGTTCCTGTAACCATAATATAGGTATAAAATTCAATATGATGTTCATGATTTCATTAATAACTTAAAAACTAAAAAATAAATACATGTAATTTACTCATATTTGATATTATAATGTAAGTACTAAGTTGTACTATTTTGATTTTTAATAAATAAGTATTTCCAATAGCTTTAGTTTAATCTTTAATTCATTATGGCATTATATAGGTATATAATTTAATTGAATGCATAATGTAACATTTTGGAATGAATAATAAATTAAATATTAAAATGTCTGTTAATTGCCAAACATTATTCATCTTATAGTTAAGTATCATACATATAAAAAACAGTATGAGATTTAAGCATTTAGCTATATTAATAAAAATATATTACATTTAAAACTTAATAGTAGATAATAATAATATAATATACTTGTTTATTTTTACTAGAAATTGTATATTTAATCACTAATTAGTTAATTGTAATTATATTAGAGTTGGCATGTACTAACGTTACTAACTATCAATGAATTATTATAAAATTATTTTAAAATTATCATTACTTGTTCATTTGTTTTCATGTTATCCATAAACGATATTAACTTTCCGTTTTCCATTGTAGAAATAGCATTATTTTTAACAGTTTCCTGTTTTTCTAAAGCCACAGATTGTTGGAGATGTAATTTGTTTGATACCTGCACATTTTCTGAGTCAATATTCATTCAAATATTATTGTAGGAATACCTACCTATATTAAAATATTATTACATTATATTACATAGGTACCTACCTTATTTTTTGATACGATGTTCTTAATTGATTCTGGCACTTTTGGACATTTAGAAATATGAATTGCCATTCTCGTAACATTTTCTTTGTAAGTGTTGTTACAAAATAGACATTTTTGTCTATTATTTTGACACGCTTGAAAATATTGTTTCTTAATTTGTTGAGGCTTCATGACTTATTATAATATTGTAATCATAAAATAAAATAAAATTGAACAAAAGTACGAAAACACAATTATAACATAATATTTTATAATCACAATTATATTGAAAATTATTATTATTTATTATGACCATGCTATTTATAAGTTTATAATAATATTGTATTCAAAATAAATGTGATGAGATAAAGATAAGAGATAACGTATCGTATTAAACAGTACCAGTAACCGCGTACACCATATCACAATAATTCGTATCACGTAACTGTCGTTATCATTTTATAAAAATCCTAATTTGTATTATAATCCTAATATCTTGATAGAAAATACAAAGACATACAAATAAAGTGGTCACTCAACTGTTTGAGTGGTAAAAAAAATGTAAATTGTAAATTGTTTTTTGTAAATTTACGGTAAATTTACTTTACCGGTAAAATTTTACATGGTAAATTTACGAGACTCACATAACATGGAAGTATAGTAAACATAATAATTATTTGATCTGTTTATTTGTTATTTAATAAAATATAATTTGTTTTAATATAGGTATTAACTATTAAGACCTTTTATTAATAGAAGATCAATAATTAAAATATATTGATGAAACAAATAACTTTTGAGTATTTACATGTGAGCATTAACAGTGCAGCATTTATTAAAAAAAGTATGAAAAAAAGTATTTTATTTAAATGTAAAGTTAATGTCTAGAATTTAAGTGTTATAAAATTTGTAAATAATTTTTGATTTTCTCGTCGGAAATATAAAAAGGAAATAATGAAATTATGATGGAAAAGTATACAACGTATATTAATATATCGATTACGTTTTATAAAAAAAAAATTAATATATTATAACAACAGCGAAAAAATAAAGTAGCACTTTAAGTAAAATGTAATTTCGTTTATCTCTATTTTATGAACGAAATGTATAGGTAGGAAGGAAATGCGTTTTGCATTCCTTAATACCTGATCATTGATCTTATATGAAGCTATGCGATATATCGATTATTTGTATACTTTTCCATCATAATTTCTTTTTTCTTTTTATATTTCCGACTGTAAAATCAAAAATTATTTACAAATTGCAACTATATTCTGTAATAACTGATAGTTATATTGGCTACTAGCTACTACTATAATATTGTGTACCTTGAAACTGGGTGTTTTTAACTAAAAGGTTTTTTTATTAGGATTTTCAGTGCTTTTTAGAATATTGTCATTTAAATTCTATACACGAAAAACTGATTCTTGGAAATAATTTATAAATATAATTGCTAATTCGATATTTTTTACAGGTTCAAGAATTATCATAAAAACAGGTAGGAAACGAATGAAAACCCAATTTAGTTTGAAGAAGTTACCTAAATGTTTCTATGGTACCCACGATATTTTATAAGTCCAAACATCCACTGAAAATTAATACTAATATTGATATAATTTCTTATTATCATAATATCAATAAAACATTATTCCGGAGTAATTTAATTAAAAGTTCGAATGTGCATGTAAATTATAATAATATATATGTACCTAATAAAATCACGTGGGTTAGTGGTTTGGTGGTGAGTTGTGAGTCCCTTCATAATTCATTCAACAAATCATTAAAGTTACACAATATACAAATTATATTTATACTAATCGTATCTTATGTAAATCTAAAAAAGTATAAAACAAGTAGGCCAGCAATTTAATTTTTCGATAACGAAGAAAAGTAATTATCGACATCTGTGCAAATAAAAATTGAATTATGAGAATTTCACGAACTCAATTGTATGCCATGGTCGGTTATATATCATACAAGGTGATCCATTTAAGTGTTTGCAATCATTATTTTGATAAGCTTTTAGCTTCTACAATATAAACAAAAAATAATTTACTATTTTAATGATATTTCATAACATAATGTATAGTCATTAAAAAAGTAAAAAAATTAATAAATTATAACAATAAATAATTATTGTAAATTTTATAATTCTTTCAAGAATGTGGATTTGTAATGAAATTAAATAATGCACAAAAATATTTGTCCAAAAAAAATTTAAAACTCCGAAATAATGAGTGTAGACACTTATGGATCAAATGGATTATCGCTTGTATATTTAGGTTCTTTAACTATTATCAGTTAAATGATAAAAGCTTTCCTCTATAACATTAATTTTCCAACGATTGAGGCACCTATCTATTTTCTAAAAAATTCGCCATAAACTTATTAATAAGTTAATTAATTAATTAATTAACAATTAACAATTAAGTAGGTGTCTCAATCGGTTAGGCGTTAGGTAGGAAATCATTGTTAGGATGGTGGTAGCGAGATAAAAATCCGCGTCGGTGGAATGGCCAGCATGAATTTTTGCGTATTTTATCATATCAAATTTTTTTCACGTAGTATTGTATTGTAGTGCCAGTAGTGGGTAAGTACTGTAATGTCAGTACGGAAAAGCGTTATCATCCCAGACAAATCAAAGTACTAGCACCTGTACTGTCTGCCGCAGTAGCAAGCCAGTATAAATCAGTGCTGGCGTAGTACCGCGCCCGTTGTTTATTTTGATTTATTGATAATATTATACTATAGTACTGGTGCCAGCAGAGGCTTCCAGTAGCGCACCAGTCTAACTGTCTATATTTGACCAGTGCTGGATTGCTAGTACTCAAGTAGTGACATTATCCCCCCGGATATACGACAGCACTGACTGCCAGTAGTGCGCCAGTATAACTGTCAGTACTCAACCATTACTGAATTACCAGTACTTTCCCAGTGCTGGTAGAGCGTTATCATCCCAGATATATGGCAGTACTATGACAGTATTAGCCAGTACTGGTGGAGTCTCATGCCCGTTGTGAATTTCCGATTGGGAGTATATTATAATAATAATGTTATCAAATAATACATGTTTATAATAAATTAATAAATTATTGATATAATCAACTTACCAATTGTTTAATTTCTGCAATTATCTTGATCAGGCCGAAATAAAAGTTTGAGTCATTGTTTTCTCTTTTTTCTTCTGTTCTTCTGTAATTTTTTTTTTATTGTTTAGGTGTTCATCAAGGATAATTAAATAATCTTCTTTTGACCGTTTTTTTGCTTCTATATTTCTTATTCTTTCGTCATATAAACTAATGTAATTTAAAAAGTCCATAAAGTATTTTTAACTACAGGGCAATATTATTAAAACTGACCTACCTTTTTAATAATTCATTTCAATCAGTTTTCATATTTTAAAGATTCTTTTTTTGCTTTTCTTTTTAACCTTGTTTACAAATCGATTTGATCTAGTAATGAGTGCTTAAAGTTGACTCTTTTTTCTAAGTTGGTAATGCTTGACGGTCTCTAACCAAAAATTGTCAACACATATTTTATATATTATTGAATATTTAAACTAGTATACTCATAAGAATATAATGTAATTATAATATATTATATTTACTTTATCAAACAGATGTCAATAATTTTTCTTCTCGATTTTTCTTTTTTTCGTTCTTAATTGCATTGGACAATTCTTTTGCAGTTTTATAGTTATAGTCAGATATTTTCATTAGTCGATCTTTACGTTTGTTTAAATTTTCCTAAAAATAAATATACTTGTGTTAATCACTGCCAAGTACAACGTTACGTGTGTTGTAATGTTTATAAATTCTTCATTGTATGTACTTTGCTCGAAATTTCATTTATTGAATTATCTCCTGTCATAAAGTTATCTCTATTATCCGCTGGACATGAATCAGATGTATAATATATATTATCGATTTGTCTTAAACGATATTCTCTAAGATTACACGACTGACAGAGGGTTTCATCTGAAACATAAATATTAGAAACTACTCAAAAAAGGAAACACGATTGTATTTTAGATACAAAATACAAAAGATAGGTAATATAATATATTATTAACTTTATTTATTATTGTTGTACAAACCAAAATAAATTCGTTATTAATTTTTTCAGATAATAACATTATCTGTTCTTACTTAAGCGTTGGCTTTTATTCGATATTTTAATTTAAAAGTCAGATAAGACCATTTTTAATTTTTGATATCTCATATACCCTTATCTTGCTTGAAAATAAAAATTTCGAAAAATCAATCGCTCAAGCACAGATAATGTTTTCACCTAAAAGTTTTATAATAGGTCAATTCACTGTAGTATCAAAACTAACAGCACACTATTGAAACTAGTGAACGACAATTTGCTATGTCGTGCGTGTGTAAGGTGGAGACAACAAATGTATGGGTAGCGTCCTCTTAATATTCGAGCAAATTGACCTTTTATCCAATTGAGAAGTATGGAAGAATATTATCTAGTGATTCTCAGTTTTTTTTAACAATTTAAATTTTAAACAGACTTAAGCTGAAAAACATTTAACAATTTTTAAATACTCAAAACTCATTTTTAAATTCAATAATAATTTAATTCGCCACTGCATTAAACATGCAGAGTTAAATAGATTCATCAGAAGGTGTTCAAAATTCATCTTAACTATTCCGTTTTCCGGTATAAATATTCTAATTCACAGTAGTTTATTATCAGGTGACAATCTACCTGCGGTAGATCGCTAACCCCGTGATGTTTGTACGTAAGTGCATGATTTAAGTATTTAACTCTAAAGTATCAAAGTTACCCCAAGTTTGTCGTATTCCACCTATGGTTAATTAATATAATCAATTAATACAAAATCCTAACTTAACCTAACAGTACTAATATCAGATGGATAAAAAAAAAACAAATTTAAACATTTTTAAATTAGCCTGTCTACACACAAACATTAATTTATAAAATTATTTTATGCAATATAGCTGATCCCTTGAACTTCGTTTTCCGTTAAATGTACTCACAATAAATGATTAAACCTTTGTTCAATTTTTATTTAATATTTGGTTTATGGTGTTTAAAATGTATCTTAATTCTTCTTTTGACTGGGATAAAAATTCTGATTCGCAGCAGTATATTATCAGATAGGTAATCTACTTGAGGTAGATCGTGGACCACGTGCTGTTTGTACGTAACTTTATAATTTAACTCTCAAGTATCAAAGTTATACCAAGTATGTCACTGAACTCCTCCTAAACGGCTGAGCTAATTGTGAATACCGAGTCTGTCGACCATATTTCCTCCTCATCCACGAATACGTGGCATTGTTTTATGTAACTTATATGTGAGTATAATACACTCAATATTTACGCAATTGCGATACATATAATATCAAAACACAGCGTACAAAAAAATTAAATGCATTAAATAAATATACGGCAACCAATAGTAATAATTATAATAGCTTTAAAACCCATGGCGACCATTTATAAACAAAAATATCCACCATAAATATCTAAATCCCCGTTTTGGCACATCCCCTGGTTGAACCTTTTACATCTTCTCCTGACATTTCCGAACATCTTAAAAAAAATTTAGCCAAATAGGTCCAAATGGACTATCCAACACAAAAATAATTTTTCAATTCAAACCAGTATAGTTCCAATGTTCTTGAGATCAGCTTTTAAAACAAACTAGCTTCCCGCACGACGTTATCCAGGAGAAATTTTTTTTTTTTAATAAATATATTTGTACAAAATTTATATACCATATTTCTTCTAATTTTAATATTAATCTCAACAAAAACAATTCGTAAAAGGCTAAGTAAAAAAAATTTAAGATCGTTAAGCACTATAAAGATGTGATATCATGAATAAATGGTAAGTATATTGAATTTAAGTAAACTTATTGTATTTCAATAATTTATTTACTATTGACGAGGAATTATTGCTTAAAAGAAACAAAATAATTAAATGGCCAATTGGCCATTTAAAATATCACTCATTATTATTTTAAAAATATTATTATTAATATTAATTATATACTATTCTAAATACATTATTGACATAAAATAAATTTACTTAAATTTAATAAACTTAGCATTTATTCATGATATCACATTTTTATAATGCTTAAAGATCTTATATTTTTTTTACTTAGCCATTTTTACACTTAGTTTACGAAGGGTTTTTGTTGAGATATCACTAATTTTTATCATCAATGATAATATATCTATATTTTTATCCATATATTATTTATAGACAGTATATTGTATAAAGTACGGCGTTAAGTACGGATAACAATATTGTTTGTGTAAATACTGAGTACATTTTGAGTATTTGAACAATGATCTAGGTATAAGAACGGTAATATTGTTTATAGTACGGTAAATTTGTCATATTTCCTTTGATGGCAAGATAATAAACATTGGCAAAGCTGTTGCCACGATGAAGATGATGACGGTTCCCGTGATTCTGAATTTAATATAAATTTAAATTAAAAAGTTAGGTTTTTTCATTTTTAACTTTGATTTTTGTGATTTTTACAAAAGCACATTCCACACAATATTTCTGATGTTTTGGAGTTTACTAGGAGTTAATTAATGCATTAGAACAAATTAACCCGTATTTTACACAGTTTAAATGGGTAACTCCTGCTGGCTGCTTCGATATAATATGCACACACTTTCGTACAGTTATTAGCATGATATAATGAATTTCAACTATATAGATTGACAAAAAAAAAAATTTCTTTTTTGTTTGCTAAAAAAAGTAACAGGTGAGCTACCCTTTACCTATCTACAGCCTATATGTTTGAAAAATAGCTGTATACCAATTTTCAAGTAATAATCTATTGAAATAACTTTTATTGAAAACGGTCCTGTCATTTTTTAGGCTATTAGCTTCGGATAAATCTACATCCAATTTTAGCTGTACCTATAACCCGATTCCACCTGCCAAACATTTTTTAAAAAACAATTTAGATTACATAAGTGTATCTTGGGTTTAGTGTAACTATACCTAGGTACTTCAGTTCACAAAAAAATTTGGGTAGCTTTGCGAACTAAATCGACTAAGGTGAACAATTTATTTGTGGTGAATTTTATGGATAGCACTTGGTATAAATCGAACGTGGTTCAAACTACTCTTTAAATATTCCTGATATCTCCAAGAACAATTCGAAATTTTCACTAAATCGGTCAAGTAATTTTTGAGAACTTATATAATAGCTACAAATATACATTCAACTCTCATATTTGTTTTAAGATATAATTTCTTTATTCGAAACCATAAGCTTGCGACAATTTGATGTTTGCTTTTACCTAATCTGTCAGAGTAACTAATGGCAAACATTTAAAATACTAATTTTTATTAATTATTTCTCCTATAACAAATAGCAACCATTTATAAACAAAAATTTCTATCGTAAATCTCAAAATACCTGTTTGAGCACCTCTCCAAGTTGAACCATTTGGGTATTATATTTAGATTCTATTTAGTATTATATCTCATCCGTGTCCACTGGTCACATTAAACGGAACCCACTACAATATTTATATTATGAACAATATTCCAAACTATAATAGAGCGATTGTTCTACCTTTAAAACATAAATATAACGTGATTTGGGATACGAACAATAAAAATGACTTACCTCTATCGGGTCCAAATATTAGTGTGTTTTTTTCGTCAACACCATGATTGTCTTCTTTAAGTCTTGGCGTCGACAAGTTTGAGCACGGTCGAACGGTCGGTGTTACCAATTCTGGTTTTACATAATCAGTGCATTCTGTAACTAATTTAGCTGGGGGCGCAGAGGAAGAAAATTTCTCGTGGTTCGACAGCATGCTGCAGTTAGATCTCACCGGTCGCACTGATGTTCTAGAAGACGGACGATTTTGTTTTGAAGTTCTTGACCTCGTTGTAGTCTGTTGAATCTCATCACAGGACATGACCCTAGACCTGGATACAGGTCTTTCGAATTTGGTTGACTGGACAGACGTCCTCGAACAGGGTCTACTAGTCGTCTGTTTATGGGACTGTAGAGATGATCTGGACCCGGGTCTGGTTTGTCCGTGTGAAGTGTTGGAACCGACAGACAGCCTTGATTCGGGTCTGCAGATAAAGTCGTCGTTGGGATGTACAGACAGTCTAGAGTTGGGCCTGTTGGTTGTGCCGTCGGTGTTGGACAACACTCCTTCGCACTCGGTCTCTGGTTTCTGCAGTGACGACGAAGACGTTGGACGAGAGTGGGGTCTAGTCTGTTTGTGTGAACTGTAAGAACAAACCGACTGTCTTGAGCCAGGTCTGCACATCATGCTTGCATCGATGTCGTCGTTGCAGTTAGAGTTAGTGGAATGTACAGACAGTCTAGAACTTGGTCTGTCCGTTGTGCAGTCGTTATTGGGCAATACGCCTTCGTACCCGGTCGCTGGTCTGTACTGTGACAACGAAGACGCCGGACGAGAGATGGTTGACATTGCGGAGCACGGACGTTTCTACACGAATTGTAAAATGTATTATATTATATTTGTAATTGTATGACGTCATAAAGAAGTTACACATCGTTAAACTCTAAAATTTCTTATGCTATCGAGAAAAATGTTTAAAATTTATATCATTAAACTGACAATTTGTTTAGTTTGTCCCACCTCCCACGTATAAACAATCTAAGTGATATAACGATAATTTTAATGATAAATAATTGTTGTTGATGTTTTGGTGACAACTCTCCTAACACAAATTTGGTTATAATCATTCGTGCATATACTCACGGGTTAGGGGTCATGGGGTTTAAAATCCCAGCTATTGGCCGTTTTTTTGTGAGCCGCTAGCCCCTACATAATTTAATTATGTTCCTAGAAATTATCCACAACCCCTCCCAACTTCAAAATTCTCGAGAACACCCCTGGTTATAGTTAGCGATCTAGCGCAGGTAGATTGTCTTCCTGATAATATAGTGCTGCGAATCAGAAATTTTATTCCAGGCAAACGGAAAAGTTAAGATAAATTTCGAACACCATACACCGAATATTAAATAACGAACTGAACAAAGTTTGAGTCATAGAGAGTTGGTACATTTTAACGGGCAATGAAGTGCACGGGATCAGCTAGTATTTTTATAAAGTTTCCGTAAAAATATTATTTGAAAAAATATGATTAAAATGTTTTGAAATGTTTTTTATAAAATGTTTTCAAAAATATGAACTTCTTGGCCAAAGAATAGAACTAAAATTTTTCTTAATTATTTAAGCAGCGTTTTAAAATATTTTGACAACTATATTATTTTCCTGAAAATATTTTTATCATAGTTAAGAAATATTTGTATGCTGTGTGGCATTATAAACCACTGCAGAAATGTATTTTTCATAAAATAGACATTGTCCAAGTTATATGGTTTAAAATTATTCTTGTTAGTAGATAATTCATAATCGCTTACTCGGCTTTCATATTGATCAGCATCCCAATCAGGGTTATAGTTGATGGCTTGATTTTTATTTTTATCTTCTATTATGCGATTCTTTAAATGCTGGTTTTGTCGATCTAAAAACTCTTGATAATACTTCATTTTTACCATTTTGTTTTTTATTTGCAGCTTACCAATTTTTGGGAAAGGAAGTTCACAATTTTTTTCTTCAAACAGTAACTTTCTAAACGCTGCAACAACTTCTTTGAAACAATGAGTGACCATATCGATATTTAATTGATAATTCTGGGCTATCGCTATAACATTTAAATAGCGTTCTGGTATCTGCATTTGTAAACAGTAGGAAATAATTAATACAATTTACTAAAATCTAACCTTCTTATTGTACCACCAGTTTTATAATGTTATCATGAGTTCGATTTTTATATATTGTAAATTTTGTCTGTGTATTTTTTATTGAATTAGATAAGTAATATTTATTTGGTTTGAATAAAAAAGAACTTACAGTTGCTGAATTATACGGTCTTGTTCTTTTTAAATTGAAATCTTTCGCTAGTTTTTCATCAATCACAAAAACCGGCTTTCTGATGGTATTTGGATGTACTTTGCTTTCATTTAACTCCCATCGAGCCACAGTAAAATAACCGATTCCTTTTATTAACATTCCCTATTTAAAATAATAATTTCAATATTTATGGCTTCAGTCCAAGATAAGGTAAAAAATATCAACATTGCAGTAATTATTCAAAAGTTCTAAATTGAAAGTCGTATGTTTGTTTTTTTTTCTTTGGTGAGGGGGACATATGGTCTAAGGTTTAACGGCCAGAAGCAACTTTACTTAAAACTTCTTCTTAACTACTCGACTTCAGGAAATATATTACATTTATGCAAGCTGGAGTACACAGGCATAATAATTTACTATTTTTATTTAAATATTTTATTTTTACATCCAGTCAAGTGCCACTAGTGGGTGGCTTCTTATCACGTATTTCATGTATTATTGTAACCCTTATCAAGTATGCTAATTGTACTAAACGTACAGATTGTATATATTATTGTGTAAAATAAAAATAAAAATAAAAATATTTTAAAACAAAATATTCGTTCACACGAAGGAACTAATCAATTATTCTTTTATTCATTTTTGATTAATGAACAGATTAGCAGAAATATTGCTAATAAACGTGTTATAATAAGAATACAATCTAAAAAAGAATATTAGGTATTGTGTTTTAATTTGAAAACTTCCCGGTTAAATTGTAAAATTGGCTCATTAAATACTTTAATATAGGTTTGTGACCTAGTTAGTCTCTATAAACTTTTGACTGATTATTGATTAAAATATGTTTTTTTTAAATAATTACTTAACATAAATATTGTACATCTGTTTACGTATTTAAAAGGTTAAAAAAATGTAGAAGCGCATTCAATACAGCTACATATTCTTTATCTTTTCTATTAATGCACTAGAACATTGTGTATTTATAAAATGTTTTATTAAGTATGTGCTCATAATTATTATTTGTAGAAAAAAAACTATTTAGAAAACTTTGAATTTACTATTTAAATACTATTGTGTGCACAATTTACATGTAGAGCTGTAGACATTATTATAAGAAGCTTACATAAAAAGATAAAAAATATGGACATAATTTACCACGATGCCATGATGCCATGATGTAGAATTAATAAAAACAAAATACCTAACGCAAGTAAATACAAACAGGGTAAAATCTTGATTTTCACACATAATAAATTGGTAATAACAATATATTTTTTGATTTTTTTGATTTTAACTTCTCCGAAAATTGAAATATAACAATTTAGAAATACTCTATTTTAATAAATTTTTAGTCATTTTTAGGAATTTGAGGGATAATATCAAATATGTGGAAAAATCAATTTCAAGCAGAATTGCCAAAAAATTCAAATCTTATCTTAAAGTAATATATAATACATTAATATAAAAGGCAATTTATTTAATAACAAAAAACATATTTATAAGCTTTAAATTTCATTCTGCCGTAAATATAAAAAATACTCAAGCATGTATTATAACCTATATTATAATAAAAATGTTTACTTTGTCTTGGCTTATATTATGTTCAATCCATTTGGAAATGCAATCCCACACTTTAAGTACATCTATGCACATAAAAATTGCTGTAATTTACTAGCTACCGATAAATAAATATAATGTATTATTTTATTATTTTACCTTTAGTTGAATACTCATTGCCTATTTTCGTCTTAAAGTTATGCAAAGTCTTACTAACGATTTCAGCATCGCGATGTACCATGTCTTCAGTTGAGACACAATTGACACAGATATTATACTAGACTCACAATGTTTACAATAAAATTATTTTTACTTTGATAATGTTTAAAACATCACTAAAATAATTGGTAACCAAGGATTTCTGTGTGTATTTTTTGTAAAATAAGTCATAAATCATAATCACGGTTCAAAATTTGAAAAAAAACTTATCATTACAGCAATATTAAATGTAATAATAACTTGTTAAGGGACAAATAAACACATCTTACACACAACTAAAACTACCATTCTCATGGCCGACATATAGTATTAGATGAAAGGAGACATGAGACTTTTGAAAGATATATGGATTGTGCCGATGGAAAACAACACCATTATAAACAAGTGACCATCGAAACGAGTTTAGTTGGGATTGCCTAACCAAAGGGCTCTCAGCCAATAAGAAACCGAAATACAACGATGAACGGGTATACCGGTGCGTTCCCCAATTTACTTCACTTCAATTCAAACCTTAAAACAGTCAACATCTCCTAGCAAGAATAAAAAGAAAGCCTGAAGAAATTGAATAAACTTCCGTAACCGAATCCGTTATCCAGTGAACCGACCAACGTCAATCTTTGGAGTGAACAGCCAGCTATAGAAGCGAGCTATCAAGTGCTCCAACGAGGCCCACTACGGAACGGTAACAAGGCCAGCAATAAATTACGGGTTGTCTATACCATACGACTAACGGCATGTATCTTGTTAGCACCACTCAGGGCTAGTCGGCTATCAGGCATTGTCTCACCCATAGACACCTGACGAACGTCTTGGAAGTGCTAACAATCCTCGTTAAAGCTTAAAGACAGGCAACACCGTAATAGTTCAAAAAGGCCTCGGGGACACCGGCCCCAACGATGCCCAAGCTGAACTCATCCAGGCTGACGACTAATAACGTTGGATAACCACGGGAAATACATGAAAACTGTCCTTCTGAGGACAACTATACATACATAGACCCCAAAAGCACGCCTGTTACGGCCATGCATACCGGACGAGGCTCATAGAGCGAACGCCACTTTTTTAAGGTTGCCCGATCTGTTAAGCCTCCTCAACATCCCATACATTTTATCTAACTGTGTAAAGAAAAAACATTCATATTTTTGTACGGATATACCGATGACCAGTTGGCCTTCAGTACCCTCCCATCTATTTTAAAATATATAATTCATTCATATACATAATATAAAAAAAATACTATGTGTGTTACCAGTACGCGCGCGGGAAGTTAAACTTCTTTTGAATGGTACACGTGAGTGAGTGAAAAAGAAAGAAAAAAATATTAATTAATTTAAAAAATGAGAAGAAGTATCCGGAATTATTTATTATTGATAGTTTTATTATTTTTTTAATATTTTTATTCGACAAATCGATGGATAATTGTTTGTAGTATTGTTTTTATCCAGACAATAGATTTGTGAGTGAATAATAATAATAATAAATAATAATCGATCATTAATTATTCATATTAATTAGTATGGCCCGATTATAATATATAATATATATATTATAATATATAATAAAAGAAAATTACCATGATAATATTTATTTATTTACGGACATGTACGCTTTCGCGTTCGTACGGCCGCCGGTTCGCTTTTTTTTCCTCACTACCCTGCGTAAAGAAGTATAACTTGAATAAACACGTAGATTTTATAATGAAATAAAATAAGAGTTATTTACTCAGCGGTGACACGTAGAATATGTGCACCGTTTCAAACTACCTACTTATAATAAACAATAATCAATTATTAATTAATATTTTCCGATTTGTATGTAAATAAAATACTAAATTTTATGTAGAAATGATAAAAACATAATTTTTGCATATTTTGATAATTAAAATACATGTTTTACATTTTTCTTGTTGTATACTATAAATTCTAGTCCAAATTATTATTGTGGTTGGTTTTCAATGTGGGTAAATACCGCTGAATTACAATCTCGTACGCACATGCACTTGTCAGTAACTGGATATCATTACCTTTATTATAATTTATTATTAATTTTTATTCACTGTATGAATTTTACTGCATCATAATTATTGTTTTGACAACATCAAAGTTACCTAATTAACGTAGTCTGATTTTAAATCTGTTAAAATATTTGAATTCAGCAGAAAAATGTATATATATCGTACAGAACATTTTATATTTTTAATTTTTGGTTTAATTACTATAATGATTGGATAAAACGCGTTTTTCATGTTTTCAATTACAGTTCAAATTTAAAGGAGATTACATTTCTTTGAAATTACTTCTTATGTAGGTATCACATATCACCTACTACTACGTAATACTTACGACTTACCACTACTAGGCATCTAGGTCCGAATTCGATCTATGAGGACATTTTTCTGCATTGAAATGCATAGCCTAAGGAACTCCTAGTCATTGTAAATTCGACTCATAGCTATTCGAGTTATTGAGGTTCCATGTATTTGGAATCCACAACAACATTACCTGAAATGTGGCTGACCATTCACACCAATGGCCAATTGCAGAACTATAATAATTATGGTACTTGTTTTTGCTATGGCTCCTCAGCTTAGCCGCCTCCTCCAAAAACTTGTAAATACCCTGCAAAATAAATTATTTAATTGTTTCCTAAATTATTAATAAACCTTTAAAAATTCAACTGTATTTCATATATCCTGTATTTTTTTTAATGTACTTTAAAGGTTTCAAAGAATACAGTGTAAAATGCACTGTAGGTAAGTTAACATAATATGAATTGTTTAAAAAATAATAGCATAAACAATATATAAATAATTATATAGTTTTTAATTTTATAACTGAAAGGTTTCACCAATAATTTGAAAAGATTTTCATAAAGAATAGTGATTAAAGCTTGCAAATCGTAACAAAACTATTATTCTTAGAAATTCAAAATAATAATTAGATCTAACATTGGTGATTTTCATTAAATTTTAATATATATTTTTTGAACTGTTCTAAAAAATACGATCAATAAAATGGCTATCTTGGAAATTTAAAAAACTTATTTGCATAACAATTTTTTTGATAATTTTTAAATTTTTGAAAAAAAAATCTAATATTATGCTATTCAATGAGAATTTCCATACTTGTTACTGTAAAAAAAAACTGCATTTAAATATATTGATTTTATAGGGAAATATTAAGGGTGCTACAAGACTTCTGGGAGTAACTTTATATTTGGCAGGGTGGGAATGATTAGTGATTTCATCATAACATGCCAATTGGTCTATATAAAAGAAAATAGTATGCACCAAGATATATTTTATATTTATCTAACTCCTTTTCTGTCTTTGTTGAAATTTAGGTTTTTTCAAATTGTTATGTTTGCACCCATAGGTACCCAAGGTTTTTGTTTTTTGATAGTTGATTTTTGTCTATATGAATTATGAAAATTATAATTTAAATTGTAGGTATACTTTCTGATAATTGATATTCATCAATGCTAATAGTTATGTTTACATACATTACGTTGATACATTACTATTTGTGGGTTCCGTACGGTAAAACGGGACCTTATTACTAAGGCTCTGCTGTACGTCGGTCTGTCCGTCCCTCCATCTATCACCATACTGTATCTGATGAACCATGAAAGTTAGAAAGTTTAAATTTTCACAGATTATGTATATCTGTTGCACCTATAACAACAAATACTAAAAATCCTAGAATATATAAAATAAGCAGTGTGGCCACTGGCCAACATGTTTATAGCTGATGATGGTGCTGAACCCTTCGTGGGCGAGTCCGACTCGCACTTGGAGGGTTTTAGATTCCGAGTGGAACGATGAATGTATTGATTTTACAATGATGTTTGTTTTTTATTTTATTTTATTTTTGTGTCTTTCAACAAGGTTTGATGCAATAAAACTGAGTTCGTTTTTTAAAAGAACGTAAATGTCAACCCGTTTGTTTGAAAAAAACACGAACGTGAACTTGAACGAGTTACTTTTTTAAGGACTGAACGTGAACGTGAAAGATTTCTTTTTATAGTTCCGATCACTAACAAAATATAATATGAAAACCCAGTAATTAATACAATTTATATACATTTGTATCCAAGCCTCAAATCATTTAAATATTAAAAACTGTTGCTTTAAATATTAAGAATTAGTATTGCTGATTGTCTTTATATTTGAATAAGTATTATTATTATTATGATTATTATTATTATTTTAATTATTATTATTATTATTTTAATTATTATTATATTTATTTTATTATTATTATTATTATTGTTGTTGAAAGTGAAGCTTGGCGTACCAGTGATTTTAGCTATAATATAATAAGTAATAACACGACAATATGATTATGTATAAGTATAATATATAATAACGTACAACTGGACAATTGAGCTGTGACTATACACACACACTGCGTACAATCGGTATGACAGCGTCTGTGCAAGTGAGTATTACATTCATCAAAGGCCCTTTTTATATGAACAATCGAAGCCATCCCGTATACGTATTCGTATATAATATAGAAAGCGATAGTAAAGGTGTTGCACAGCTATATCGTAACTGCATAAGTATCTATTAGAAAACGACATTGTACACGCACGTGTGTTTACATGGTTTGAATACTAATATTAATTGTATATTTCAACAATTATTATTATTATTATTATTATTATTATTATTATTATTATTATTATTATTATTATTATGTAATGACTAATTTTTAGGTAACAGATCACAGATGTGTGACACTATATTGTATAAACATAATTATTATTTACAAATAATGTCTGTGCGGGCTGTTGTTTCTGGGCTCCCCCGATATTTTGTAATGAAGGCCCTAAAATGTATAAGTCCCACAGCATAGGGGCCTGTATTATAACTGATGTTACTAGAATTGAATGTCATTTTTTCTAAAATATGTTGTAAAAAGTAAATCATGTTTTATATTTTAATCATGTTAAAATATAAAAAATATAAAAACGTAAAATTTTTTAAATTTGCTTGGAATAACTTATTATGATTATTAC